AACCATTGCTTTACTTCACTGGAAGAAAACGTTCTCCGAGTGGGAGTCTTTACGTTCGAGACCTGTCCGAATGATACGTTGAGCACCAAGTGTTCCGGGCACCGACCGTTTGAAATCTTGTGTGGGAGAAGGGATATGAGGTGGAAGGGAAGCAATGGCTAGAGCAACTATCAGACCTGCTCTCGATGGAATCTTCAGGAGATAGGAACTCTTAGTGCAAATTTATAGCTGTTTTCCTTCAGTCGATTTGCTGGGCTGCACCATTCGGGCCTATCTAGCTTGAGGAATGATATATAGAGAGGAAAACAGTGAGGAATGATATATAGAGAGGAAAACAGTGAAATGAAAACTAGCTCGCTGGAATCGCTTTGAAACGGTTCCAAAAGCCACGGGAAACAGAGGTAGCTCACTGACGAGTCGACGTAAGCCGTTTTGTAATTAATTTCTCCTCTATATTTCGGACTATTATATAAGATCGATACATGCCTATACAAATTAAACGTCAAGAGGCGTTTCAGCAACACGTCGTCCCAACTCCCTGTAAGATAATAACTTACTTAATAAACTGAGATCCCGTTAGAATTTTTACCTCATTCTTCTGTCCCTTGTAAGTTTCCTTTAACTTCTGACCCGTGTCAAGACAACCATCAAAGGCCTTTTCTTTAAAGTACAATTCACAAAGAAGCTGAAGCATTTTCCGTTTTTCGTCAAGCGTGGTGTCCTCGTGCTTCAAAGACAGTTGTAAAAGCTCGATGGCTCTACTGTTATTTCCTTTACGCGCAGCTTCGAATCCATCGGCTCTGAACGTTTTCTGAAGACCAAAAAACAAAATGATGACAAGCAGTCAGTAAACAGACTCTTAGAGCCCAAAATTTTCAAAGGACTGCTTAAATAGAAAGAAGTCAGTGTGCTGATCTGGAGCATGCAACTGATCTGTTCGTGGAAATATCTGTTCCCCAGCCGATTTCTTGCTGGGTGGGAAATCTATTGCCACACTATGCTGGAATCCGTCGGTTGTGATCACTGGCTGGTTAATGCGGGTTATGCTTTGCTGGCTGGCATTTGCTGGGAAGTAGAAGTTGAGACATATTTGCTGGGAGAAAGGAACAAATATAAATTTGGGAGCAGCTATTTCAATTGTTAAAAATGTTTATTTGAATAAAGGAGGATTCTTTTATAATGTCACGACGCTGGCGACTCTAGAAAAGTACTTATTTGTTAACATTATAATTCGCCATTTGCAATCGGCCGTGTTAATTCCACCCGATCCTAACCATGGCTGCTCCCTGCCCTTGCCATTTTCTGCTTTAGCAGTGACGGACATCGCAAAAAAATATGACTTAATGACAGTATAATCATTACATAGCTTTTCAATACTTTTTTTTTTATTACGAGAAACGTAAATATCAACTTTACCTGGGGTATGTTATTTGCACTGGTCTTGACATCAGCTCCAGTCTTATTCCTCTTATCCATCAGCAAACTTGCCACATCAAATTTTTCTAACTGAATGGCGACGTCAACGAGATCTTCGCTGCTTCCTTTTTGAGGGTTAGCATTCGCTTTATGCTCCAGTAGGATATTTATGAATGTTCTCAGATTTGAAAAGTCACAGCGAATAATGTCTTCTAAGGGAACATTGCTTGCATCGCATCCCATTGCGAGACCTCCTGAACCGTTACTGTACTGTTTCTCCCCTCCACCGCCAAGAAAAAGAATATGAAGTCTTCTCCAGTCTTTTGTGGCCACAGCTTCATTGACTATAGTTTGAATTAAATCTCGCGGAAGGCTGTATGAAATACTTGATGTACCATCTAAAGTAATAATAAATAGACGCAAGACGGAATTAGTTTGACGTGGAGGAGTTTTTGAAAGCTAGGTTGAACGGCCATCAAAGTGATAATTACCTGTGGATCAAACCTGGGAAAGACAAATGTCAGACTCATGATTGCGACCCCGAGGCACATTTAAGCTAAAAAATACGAATATAAAACCACATTTACAGCTGCAAAAATGTCACAAAAATTACACTAAGCAAAAGTCAAACACCTGTGATATGTGCGAAAAATGTCCCATAGAACAAATAT